ATATTTGTTGGCAGGTTCTTATTTAATCTATCAATTAATAGATGGTCGATTAATCTAGTTAATATGTCTATTTACTGATTAATCGCTACAATGAATCCTATCGAGCAGCTACGAGTTTCCCAAACATTGGGTAGGATATTATTTGCATGTTAATTATGTGATTAGCATTGTAACTTATATTTGGTATGATATTAACTACACACTAAATGTGTTGAGTGCTCGCCATTTAAGCAGCCTAAGTCGTTAGATCGACTTGGATTAATGGCTGAGATTTGTTGGATCTGCTTCTTTGGGTCTAGTATATTGGTATAGAAATAGATATAGATATTTTAGGATATATTTGATATTGGTAGTCAAAATTTCACAAGTTCGATATGCTTAAAAGAAGGCATTATGATGTAGGAAACAATTTTGTGTATGTGCTTTGTTCTTCTGGAATAAAGGAGATAATTGATCATCTTATCTTCCATTGTTCCTTCTGCGTGACTTGCTGGGCAAAAGTTGGTGTCCAGTGGAACCCCAATCTCATGGGAACTGAGGCCATTCAATCTTCCAAAAAATACTGGGAAAGGGCTTATAGGTGGCCTCAAATGAGTGGTGGGCAGGGTCAGATACCTTCCACTTCTCTTTTGGAGAAGTAGCATTGGCTGGTAGCAGGGTATGCCCGCCACGGGAGTCGACACAAAAGTGTCGGGCCGATATATAGGCCATCTAGCTACTAGCTATGGACCCGTAGGTTTGTGCTGAACTACTCACACATCATCGAAAGGACAACAAGGTTGATGTATAAGCCCTTCGTGATCGATTCCCCCTCCTGCAGAGTACTGGAAAAGGCCTCCAGATGGGATCACGGAAGAACAAAAGCTTGTGGCCGTGTAAAAATTGTTTCGGGTGGCTCAGTGGGTTTTTGGAATATCCGGGAATTTATGGCACTGGAATTAGGTCAGACGGAGCCACATGGGGCCCACAAGACATCAAGGCGCGCCCTGTTGCCTTGCCATCTCCTCACTTCTCGTCTGATTTCCTCCCGAAGCCTCCAGGGTCTCTTATGTCTAGAAAAATCATCAAAAAGTTTCATAGTGTTTGGACTCTGTTTAGTACATATTTTCTGGAAAACCAAAAAACAAGCAGAAACCACAACTGGCACTAGGCACTGAGTTAATAAGTTAGTCCCTCAAAATGATATAAAATTGCATAAAAGGTATCCAAGATTGATAATATAATAGCATGAAACAATCAAAAGTTATAGATGCGCTGGAGACGTATCAGAGACCCGCGTCAAGTTTTGCATATTGTAACATTTCATTATTAATATAACACAGTAGGAGAGGATAAAAAAGGGCTCCAGCAAGCATCTCAGCAATGTATTTCGTATCCCACCCTAGTTCCGGTTATCCGGATCGGACAACAATGGCATCTCAGCGTCATTCTACTTCATGAAGGCGTCGTATTGTTTGCTTGCGGCGTACTCGGATCTGGATCTCGAGATTATGGCGGTCTTGTTGTTGGTTTGGGCTACTTCTCGCGGTGGCGAGTTTAGTTGTGTTCTTCTGTTTGGGCTGAGCATCCCTTGCTTCTCTGCTTCGGGCACCATGTTCACGCCTATTGCGTTTGTGTCATGTGATGTATCACATCTTGTATTCGTTCTAAACTTCTTCTATCAATGAAATGATATGCAAGTTTTGCATATTCGCGAAAAAGGCCTTACGTATCCCCGAGCCCCCAACAAGTGTTGAGCTAAATGCCAGGGAGAAGACAATCGTGTTGAGCGTTGTGTCGAGGTAGCCACAAGCCATTGACAGTGAAGGCATCCATGGGTTGGCCATAACTAAGGTTGCGAAAATGCAATACTAACGCCGTTGGTGGGTGTCCCGTGGTTCATCTCCACACACACATGCGCACGCGAACATCAGGAAAGTGAGAAATAGAGACGAGAGATGCAATTGGGTGGCAATTTTGATCAAGGGCCCACTATCTAGATAATATAATTAAAAGAGCAAATGATCAATTGGCAAGTAAAGACATGATAACTTGCAACTATCAAAGTTTCAATGAATTTGGGTCAAAAGATCAAATGTCTCTCTCTAAAATGTTAGGGTCGAAATGTAGGAATATGAACTACTACTAATGAAATAAGGGAAAAACGAACACATTAGATATTTACCTAGAACATGTGGGTCCTTGAGTGGATCCCACATTACCTTAGAGACGTTGTTCTCTAAATTATAAAAAGTAAATGATTGAGTAATATACCATTTTTTGTGAATTCTGTATAAAAGAAAGTTGAGAATATTATTTTTTATATTAGACAAGAAAATATAAGGAACTCTTGTGTTTCAGCAATGGGTGCATAATTGTTTTTTTAATTTGAGTACATAATTTTCTACTATGTCACGGTTTCTAATTCATCTTGTCTACTACACCGTTCCACTGCACCACATGTTTCTACTACATTGTCCCATTGCAACGCATGTTTCTCTACATCACGTGTTTCTGCTGCATATCATCGAAATGCATATATTTCACTGCGGGGCTCTTACTATTTTGTTTTCCTTCGGAATTCCAGTCCTCGGTTTCTATGAGGGATTTTTTTTCCTCGACCCTTCCCCACAAGCGCCTCTAAGCCGACAAGGGTTTCCACAACTTCTGCCATTGCCGCCGATCTATATTGTCTTTCTGTGGCCTTAGGGTCATGGATGCATTGGTGGATCCCGACCTCTGCCAGTGGAAAGGGCAATGCTTCTTTTTTAGGTGTTTTTTTCAGAGTTTGTTTATGGGTTGTGTCCTGTTCAGGAAGCCGAGGTGCCGACGACTCCCGGAAGATGGAATGAGGTTCTTCCTACTTAGCCCCCATCCTGACAGTGTGTCCAATATCGTCCGAGGACGTGTGGAGGTGTGGTTTCGGCGGATCGCATGAGATTCGGCGGTGTTTGTCTTTAGTTGATCTTGCGGGATACAGTCGGTTTTTGCCTTTGGTGGATCTTCTTGGATCCGGTCTTCGTTCATCTGTGTTCGTGTGTCTAGATGTTGCCTCCTTCCGATATACGCTTTATCTTCATCCATGGTGGTTGTTGTTCTGGTGTGCTTGCCCTTTGGGGCCTTAGCACAATGAATCCTCAGTTGTCTAGTACAACAAGGTTTGTCCGGCTCCGGTGAGAAAAGGATGATGACGGTGGCGTGTCTTTGGCTTGTTCCGGTGCTTTTAGTTGTCGCTAGGTGGTCTATAAAAATGGATGTAAATTTTGTTACTTCCGGTGTTATTTGTACTATCATAATGTTTGATGAATAATCAAATGTTTTGTATTAAAAAAACGCTGCTGTACAAAAAATAAAAAAATAGAAGAGAAAAACCAATTTTTTTTCTTGGAGAAAAGAAAGAGAGAAACCATTTGCCGGTTGGTACCCTCACGAATGGTGACCGGATCCGGGCCGTGTCGGATGCTTCTTAAGCGGAAAAGGAAAACACACTGGACGGCCGATATAAGCAGCGACTCCGCCTCCTCCCCCACACACGACCCCCCTCCCTCTACACGACGACCACTTCGCCCACCACTCCCACGCCCGCACCGGCAGCGCCAGTTCACCCACGAGCCCGACGTGCGTCGCCTCTCGCGCCGACGGTCGCGCGCGGCGCCAGACGCGGGGACCCCCGCCTCGAGCAAGGCCGAAGCTGCCGCGAACTCCTCTCCTGCGCCAGCTCCCCGCATTGAGCCGCGCGGCTCCCGGCGAAACGCCACGCCGGGGCGGTCGCCGCCTGCCGTCGCGCCGGAGTCGGTGAGCGCTGATTTTCTATTCCGTTCGACCGTTGCGCTCGCCCGAGCCTGGAACCTTGCTCCGCGATGCCCCCACCGGATCTCCGGAGGGAGGGATTCGCGAGTCGCGTGGTTCTTGATTTGAACACCCTTCCTCGCCGGATTTGCTTCCTTTTTCAGTTAATTTCTCTGCCTGGATCATTGATTTCTGGGAGTGGTTCCGCTTGGAGTCCCATCGCTCTGTTTGCGACCGGGATCTCTGATTGAGCGGCATTGAGTTCGCTTTCTTCAGCACTGTCTTCTTGTCCTGCTGATGGGAATTGGGCATTTCGGGGTCGTGGAGTGGACTGGTGGTAGTTTGCGATCCGCATTCACGAGTTTTGCAGCCCTGTTATTCCCGTGACTTGATTTGCCGGTGCACTCTTGCGTGCCTTTTCCTTGTCGTCCACGGCGAGCTCTCGCTGTGATACGAGCAGGTTGGTTGCAGAATTGAATAGTATTAGGAATTTCGAGTCGGCGGTTTGGTTTGGTTGGCGATCATTTACCATCTGCATTTATGGAGGAATATTGTCCAGCGAACTAGTACTAATTTCTTCATTTAAGATGTTCGATGAACCAATTGGCCGTGTGCAGCAATTACTGGAAGTCCTACGCCTATCTAGTTGTTCTTGGTTATTTTTTAGGCAACGATCAAGACTTGCTGATCTGCTATGCCATTTCATGTGAAGTAGTTAAGCAGCTATCTTTTTAGATCTTTTTCGAGAATTTGGCTCTATTTAAAAGAAAGAAGGATGAATTTTAGTTTACTCTGGTAGTACACCCGCTGTCCTACACAGTGTAACTAAGTAGCAAATCTTTTGATGAAGTTTCAAAGAAAAATATAAGATGGACGGGACGCCTAAGGTCTCTTATCAGTGGAGTCCTTTGGCACCTTCCTTGATTTCGACATCACATCCTATATGGAAATGAGAATGCTTATTTTGGTTCAGAAAGTTGCCTCTCACCTTTTTGAATTAGACAGCACATCTTGGAGGTGTGTATTCTTACTACCGCAAACCAGTATAAACCACATCTTGGGCTGTTTGTTTTTAATTCCTTTATGCCTGAATTTGAATTGTGTATTTTTCTTAGATTTTCCTCATTTTTCAGTCTTGTTTGGACAGGCTTGTTTTGCAAACGTGGTTATGTAATTATTTGTGTCTTATCATTTCTCCAGGAATCAGATTAACAAATTAGAGGTATCCTGAAATGGGTGCCAAAGAGAATGGCGAAGTGAGAGATGAGAAGGGAGTTAGATCAGATTATGAACCATCTAGAGTTTCTGTTTCCTCGCAAGGTGAGGCTCATGGTAATGAAGACAATAGAGCGAAAAGAGGTTCGGTAGTTCCAAAGAAGCTCTTGAAAAAAGACACCAAAGAAAATAGCCCTCGCATGGCCAAAAGCAGCACAAGTCGTCAAGTTCAAAACAAGGTGCAACAGAAAGCACCAAACAACACTCAGAACAGATCACCAAAACCTAGGAAAGCAGCAGTTAATGGTGCTAGAGCAATTGAAGTTAGAAGACCAGATATTGTAAAAATCCCTTCTCGCCCTCCATCAGAACTGTCCGAGGAGGCAGATGATATAGCTAGTGAAGCGGGAACCATTGATGATAGAGGCAATGAAGAGGCCAAAGAGATCGATGTGTTAGACGAAGCTCCACATTGCGATCAGAGTACTGGTACTGATGATGAAATTGCTGATATTGAAGAAAAGATTGTTGATGATGACAAAGCAGTTTTACATCGGAGAAATGAGGAACTACAGTCAAAACTTGAGAAGATGGAGCAGGAACTTCGTGAAGTTGCTGCACTCGAAGTTTCTCTTTACTCTGTATTGCCTGAGCATGGAAGTTCAGCACATAAGTTGCATACCCCAGCTCGGCGTCTTTCTAGGCTGTACACTCATGCATCCAAGTTTTGGTCCCCGGATAGGAGAGCTTCAGCAGCAAAAAATACTGTTTCTGGTCTTGTTCTCGTTGTGAAATCCTGTAGTAATGATGCTTCAAGGTAAGATATCACTACACTTAATCTCAATTTCGAATTCAGCGTATGAGATGTGGCACAAGAATAAAGCTTCCCCCATTAACAATCTACTGTTGATGTAGGTTAACATACTGGCTGTCCAATACAGTTGTTCTCAGAGAGATAATTTCAAAATCTTTTGGCATCTCACGTCAATCAACTCCAACCATGACGACAAAAAACTTAAATGGCAGTGCACACTGGTTTGATGGAAAATCCACGCCCAGATCCATGCCAGTGCCATGGAAAAACAACTCCAACGGCAAGCAAACTGAACTTGCTATAATACAGACAGCAGATAATTGGCAGGAAACTAGCACACTTTTAGCCGCATTAGAGAGGATCGAATCTTGGATATTTTCTCGGATTGTCGAGACAGTTTGGTGGCAGGTAATATTTTCCTTAGGCCATATAATCCCTTGCTCCAAACTGTTCTTGCATTCCTAGTCCAGTGCTTCACAAACAAATACTCTGCAGTGATTCTCTCAAGGACCTACTGTTCTCTAAATTTGTCTTATTTCTCCACATTGCGAACTCTCTGAAGAATGTTTCTTTTCCAGGCATTAACTCCTCACATGCAAACCCCAACAGAAGGTTCGTCAACCCCAAAGGCTCGGAAAGTGTTAGGCCCTTCTTTGGGTGATCAGCAGCAAGGCACCTTTTCTGTTAACTTGTGGAAGGCTGCATTTCACGATGCATACAGCAGACTCTGCCCTCTTCGTGCTGGTGGGCATGAGTGTGGCTGTTTGCCAGTATTGGCCAAACTGGTATTCATCGACATCTCTAGTTTTTCTAAAAGAAAACATATTTAAAGTTTCTAATGTATTTGTGTATTTGACGTGTTCTATTATCAGGTGATGGAGCAATGTGTAGCCCGTTTAGATGTTGCAATGTTTAATGCCATTCTTCGTGAATCAGCTAGTGAGATACCAACTGATCCAATATCTGACCCAATCGTTGACCCAAAAGTCCTCCCGATCCCAGCTGGTGAGCTAAGCTTTGGGTCAGGAGCGCAGCTGAAAAATTCTGTATGTACCTGATTCCAACTTTTGAGCGCACCCCGAAATAATTTTCCTATATTTTCTTTATCAAATTGTTTGTTGGGATGATGATTGTGGTTGAGATCAAAATTATTGTGCATTCTCACATATTATGAATGTGCTAGTCGATTTATAATAAATGAATGTCTATGCAGATTGGAAATTGGTCGAGATGGTTGACGGATAACTTGGGCATTGACGCTGATGACCCTGAGGATGAAGGTTTCGACATAGGAAATGGGAATGATGAAAGAATTGGTGCAGCTGAAGCAAAGTCTTTTAAGCTGCTTAATGAACTGAGTGATCTCCTGATGACCCCGAAGGACATGCTTATTGAAAAATCCATCAGGAAAGAGGTCAGTGTCCGCGCATAGCTCCAGACAAGTTAACGTACTGTTTTCTGTTGGATTGAACTGTCATTAAGCTTTTGCACTGTCTATCAGATCTGCCCTTCGGTCGGGCTTCCACTTGTAACAAGAATCCTGTGCAACTTCACCCCTGACGAGTTCTGCCCCGATCCTGTCCCTAGCATAGTCTTAGAGGAGCTGAATTCCGAGGTGTTATTTCTCTCTCCCCACAATGTTTTGTGATTACATAGTTATTACAAGCATTATCATGCTGACATATCAAACATTTGCGCAACAGACATGGTAGTTAACACTACACTTCATGTTATGATGCAGAGCTTGCTGGAGCGTCACACCGCGAAACACGCGATCAGCGCATTCCCGTGCATCGCTGCTCCTATCGCGTACCGCACTCCTTCCCAACTGGATGTGGAGGAGAAAGTGTCGGTCGCCGGAGGCAGCGCCAAGCTGGACAGGAGAGCCTCGATGGTCCAGAGGAGAGGGTACACCAGCGACGACGATCTAGATGACCTGGACTCCCCCCTCGCGTCCCTGTTCGACAAGAGCGCTCCACCTTCGCCGTCAAACGGCGCCGCGCCTTTCACTGCTCAGCAGAGAGGAGCTTCCATGGAGAACGCGAGGTTCGAGCTCCTGAGAGAGGTGTGGTCGGAGCGGCGCGGCAGTGATCCGGTGAACTTGTGAAGATCACCACCTCTATAGTTACTCCTTATATTACATAAAAAGAAAAAGGGGTTGGGAAACCCTGGAGAGGTGAAAACCCCGAAAGAAGTTGCTTTTGCAGCAGAACTAGGGCCCCTTGTATGATACTCCCTCCGTTCCAAAATAGATGACTCAACTTTGTACTAAAAGTTAGTATAAAGTTGGGTCATCTATTTTGGAACGGAGGGAGTATATCTTTGTACATCTCTATATACATGTTGTTGTTTTTTTCTGTAGTGGTGTATAGGACATAAATGGACGGCACTATGGCCGCCTGGAGGCTAAAAAGATTTGGTCTATGTCCTTTGCCGATTCGTCAGCAGTTCTATACTGTTTCTTCCTACCGACGAATCTGACGGGCGCTTTCGTGTGAGCTGTCTCCACTAGCCTAAGCATATCGATGGATGTGAAGATGCGAATGCGACGGCCCAACGGCAGCCAGCCGGTCGCCGTCGTCAGACGATTCGGACGGCCGCCGACGAAGGGGACTCGCCACCCGCACCTCCGGATGCCGCATAGTACATATGTGAACCGCATTGGCGGCACTGCTCGTGCAGTAATGGTTCCGCCGTCTGTGGTGCAGCAGCGACCTGACGTGAGGGAGACTGTGTTTGGCACGAGTGTGCAGGTGGAGATCTGGCTGATGGTTTTGATACTCTCTCTGGGCTTGCAAATGGAGGTGCTGCTGGTGCCACCGACGGCCGGCTCGTTCGTCGGGCCAGAGATGGCCGCGTCAGGGTTCCACTCCGCCGACTGTCTAGCGAGAGCAGTGGCAGCGGTAGGTACCGGTGTGCCCCGACCCCCGCTACCTAGAAATATGGGCTTTGGAATCTATCGGTACTGTGCCACACATAAAGCATGTTTAAAGGATTTTTGGAGGACTCTTTTCTGAAGAAAAATATCATCGGTCGTCTCATGCACTTTCTTTAAGGAAAAGCCTTCATGACAACTTTATTGATTTGCAAAACAATGTTACACAGTCATAAGACGGGGTAACAAAAATCCAGGAGGTTCGTCGACCAAATTACAATCAGTTCTGGAGGTACAGCAATCCCCAATGACTTCATGAGCCGCGCCGTTAGCTTTCCTAGGACAATGTTTAAATTTTACTCTTCCTGCGTTGGTGGCGCGCGCGCATCTCCAATGTTGATCCTCAAATCATTTGTAACCGTCTGAACCACACGATTCTGACGTGGTTTGTCATCCAACACGATCCTATATCGATCTGTAGAGGACACACTTTCTTCCGTAAACCGGAGACAAACCAAGGGGCTTTGCGGGTGTTCGGACAGCAGCCACGTCCGATTCTGACCATCCTTGCCCACCCAAAACCCGCCCTACTCGTCCGTGTGCGTTCCCTCCCGGCGCCAACTACCCGCATTCATGCCGTTGTAGCGCGCCCGCTCCGCATTGATACCGGCTCAGAGCGAACACGACCTCTCATTAGCGCTGGCATTGAAACAGCGCGCCAGCCGAGAAAGCGCCACCCGTGGCACACCCAGCTGAACACACATCGCCGCATTCAAACGTCTTCATTAAACCCACGCGCGTGCCGAGAAACCTACTACGGCCACATGTTCGTTTGCGAGCCGAACGACATTAAACACAACGCAGGGCAAGCTCCTCGAGCCAGCCGGATACGAGCCAGGCAACATGCTGCTCCACCTTCGTCCGCCGAGCCTGATGAAGCAAGTGGTCGCTCCAAGCCAGCTGGCGGAAGAGTGGCGAGTTGCTCCAGGCCAGCACGACGGAACGCGCATCGCGGTTGTCATGGACGAGACCAGATGGTGAGCCATCAGAAATCAACGTTCATGGAACTGCGCCCTGCCGACGAAGAAAGAAGCCGGCTTGGAGATCGGCAAGGTGGCGGCCAACACGTCTGCGACCGCTGCCAACATCGAGAAAAAGTAGAATATGGAAGGTCGCCGCTTCGGTCCAGGAAGGACCACCGCCGGCATGTTGCCAGCGTACATAGTTGGTGTCTTGCCCTTTCTCATGGACCACCATCGTCCCCTGCCCCAAAACCCAACCCTGATCCGCACTTCACGAAAGCGGATGCCCCCTTCCCCTCTGGCTGAAGCACCCTCTTTGCCACTCCAATGGGCGGCGCAGCCAGATATATGAAACATACAGGGGAGGAATATACCTATGGGCTCCCGACGGTCCGATGAGCGGGCTGTCGGACATGGGGAAGACAAAGGAATCCTCTGTGGCCAGCCTTAGACTAGTGTAGTGTATTATGGAGTTTTGTGCGGCCGGAGGTGCACATAGTTTAACCTTTAGGTAAAAGATGTCCAAAATGTAAATGCTTTCATCCAGTTTGTATGAAATCCGTTGTGTTTTCATGAATTTGTCTGCTTTGCCGGAAAAATGTTTGGACGGCCGGCTCCGGCATCCATGTCCGAGGATTGATCCCCCATGTTCACGGATGGATGCCAAAGCAAATTTACGAGTCAACGTTGAAGATGCCCTAATTGCCTCATACTCCCTTCGTTTCTTTTGAATTCATGTACTATAAGATTTGTATGAAGTCAAACGACACAAAGCTTGACCAAATGTATATTAAAAAAATATCAACACCTACAATATGAAAGTTGTATATGGTAAAAATTAATATCATGCATCTAATGACATTGATTTCGTATTGTGAATCTTGATAATTTTTCATATAAACTTGGTAAAACTTTACAAAGTTTGACTTTAGACAATTTTATGTGCAGACAAAAAAGAAACGGATGGAGTACTTTGTTTAATTGTACTACCATCTCTCCTCTTCCAGGTTCTGATGTTTTATTTCTACCCTACTACAACTTATTTGGGACAAAAGGTTGTTATTGTCTGATATGTGGAACTGAGTTTATATGAAGACTTCAAATTCTATGTTTAACATACGGTGAAACGAAACACATCAGTACAAATTCCCAAAAAACCGTGCAACACAAATCAAACTTACGACACCAATCGATCATGCACTATCTATCGACACAAAAAAGCATGTGCCTTCGGACCTTCCAATTTCTAACCATACGTGGAAAACATTTTAGTCACACTACCAGCTATGGATCGCATTTATCCTGCATTGACGCCATAACGAGCACAGTATGAAGGCAAAACCAATCATCAAGATTTAGATGAAGGAAAATAGATAGCTTGCGATATTCCATACTCCAAAACTTCCACAGGATACAAAAAACATGCTGGTGCAATGCAAAATAACAGCTCATTCTAGCGATGTAGATAAAGAAAGAGTCTACTCAGTGTCATCGACGACCTTGGTTCCCAGCCCCTTCAAACCCTCAGCAGGCACCTCGGCAACGGTGACGAGTGAATAGAGCTCCTCCTTGGCGTCCTCCTCGTCGTTCCTCCTGCGGGCAATCCTCACGCGAACCCTACGGGGCACGCTTCTGATCCCACTGCTCCAGATGAGCTTGTTGAGCTTCACGTCGATCCTGACGTCTGTCGTGCCCATAGCCTTCTGTGCAAACTTCCTGAGCTCTTTGATGGCATTGGGTGCCTTCTTCTTGAAGGTACTGTCAAACATTATAAAAGACTCAGAAGGGACCATATTCAACTGTAACACACATCAATATTGATAAACTGGTTGGGCCAAATGTGAATAGAACAGTTTCATAAGGCAACTAAAACATGGTATCATGATATGTTACCCGAGAATACTCAAGGAGGTTAGTTCAATAACAAGTAGAGATAATTAAATAGAGCATTTTAGTTCGGGATTGAGTCGGACCAAAGTGTAGCCAGGTATGCCAACTGAGGCAGGCAGCACATTAAGATCAAAGTAGTTTCCATGATAAGTGATTGGTTCAAATCAGTGATATCCAAACTAGCCCTAATTCAACCAACCCTGACAACAAGAAAGCAGCTTTATTCATGACCTGAATGAACTACGTTTAAGCACCGTTCCTACAATTCAAGAGCAGAATAAAAACTGATTGTACACAAACCATTGGAAAATCTTATCGAACAAGCAACTGTGCTGAGCTGATGTGGTTCAACCTTCTTAGGTGGGGCAAGCAAATCATTTAACTGTCCATGGGCGTAGCTCAATTGTCGTAGAGCTAACAAACAACATGAATTGGATTACAACTAGTTGCATGAGTAGTTTGCAAGTGGAATGTTATGGTACAGCTCTCTGAGTATGCCAGCTCTCATCTGATGCATCAACCAGACCGGAGAATAAAAGCTAGTAACTCATAATAACAACTGGATCACAGTACAGCTAGCAGTAATCCAGACTGAAAAATGGAGCGTGATAGTACAGCTCTATGAGTATATACCTCTCAGCTCACGTCTAAACGAGATTAGAGAAGTATGACAGGCACATTCTATAATAAGTTGATAACAGACACAGCAGCATCAGGAAATTGTTCAATCTATTCTAACCAAGACGTGAGAGAACAGCGAGCACGATCTCACACCACAAACCGAAATCTCACTACTAATTAATCAATGTTCGTGGCATGAACACAGCAGGACGGCGTGGTGAACCAAGTCAGATCTTGCGGCGGGGAACGGAACGGCGAGCAAGAAGTGACATCGCTGGGGAGGTTGCATACCAGCCATGGAGGCGCTTGTGGAGGTTGACGGTGTACTCCCTCGTGACGACCTCCTCCTTCCTTGGCGCTCCGCCCTTCTTGTCCGCCATCCCCCTCCTCTCCTCGCTGACCTGCTGCTGCTGCTTCCTCCCTCCGGGTCGATTCTGTTCCGGCGGCGCGAGAGGAAAACCCTACCAGCGACGGGGAATGGCTTTTATATGCTCGCGTTCTGAGGGGCGCACGTGCCGCTGATAATTCATGGGCCTCGGTTTAGCCCATGACCCAGCAAGGTGTGTGGGGGGGCGGGCCGTGCAGAGAGTACCTTTGGCATAGGTCCGTTATATGCGCTCACTGCTCCTGGTCTTTTTAAGCGACACATAGGCTATGGTCACTCGCAAATGCTACATATCTTATTCTTTGCCAAAAAGATGCAGAGCTTGCCTACAGTGCCGGCCGAATTAGCTCCGGCTTTAGGTAGGATTTGATCATTCATTTTTCTTTTATGTGTTTCCTTGTTGTTGTTGTTTTTATTTTGTTTTATCTGTTTTACTAATTTTTCTGCTTTATGTTTTCGGGTTTTTATTTTCCATCTTCATTTTTCCTTTCAAATTCATGACGTTTCCAGTCTACCCAGTTTAAGTGTACAAACATTTTCGTATATATCATGGATATTATATTACAAATTACATGTTACATTCTATGAACATTTTTAAAAATATGTAAACATTTTACAAGCGTTAGGGGCATTTTTTAATGCTACAAATACTTTTTTCATATGTAATGAACAAATTTGAAAAACTGGAACAAATAAAATTACATTTCATGAATACTTTTTAAATCATGTGAAAACTTTGTAATTGGGAAAATTTTAGCATGGTCTCTCTTACCATTGATTTGATTTAAGTAGTGGTCAGATTAACTCTTACCTTCTGATCTTCCATGTGAAAAGAGGGGGTAAGAGGGAGCATGTTAAAATTACTCTTCTAATTGTAACTAAAATTTTAAAATATAATGAATTCTTTAACAGAAAATTATGTAATTGTTTTACAATACATCAATATTTTGAGAAATGTCAAGAACAATTTTCTAAGTGTATGCACATTTTTTACAAATACAAAATTTGTTATAATTTCATGAACATTTTTATTAATGTGTGAACATTTATTAAAAATATTTTATGACTTTTTATTTAATATTGCCAAAAACTTTTTTAAGCTTCATAAAAAATTTGTAAGCACTCCCTCCGTAAAGAAATATAAGTGTTTAGTTCATTAAAATAGTGATCTAAACGCTCTTATATTTCTTTATAGAGGAAGTACATATAAGAATTTTCAAGTAATATATTTTTCTCTAAAAGTAATTTTATAAAACTTAAAATAGCGGGAAAAGAGAAAAGATATAGATAAAAAATTGTTTATACATGCACTAGCAAAATCAGTTGTTAAAACTAGTGCTTCACCACGAAGCACATTTGTGCTTTCCTTTTAACTAGTGCTTCACTGTGATATCTACATTGTACATTCGAGTCATGTACCAAAAAGGGGGGGGGGGGTAGAAAAACAGGAAAAAAACAAACAAAAAACGAGCGATAAACAACACCGGAAAAACCAGGTGAAAAAAAACATTGATTTGTTGTAGACCAAAAATAAATAAATTGCCGAAAAAAGAAAATGTGAGATAAAAAAACAGGTTGGAGTACCATGGCTAGGCTCGCAGCCTCGCTCCACTTGGTTGGCTAGCCAGCCGCCACATGGGAAGCAGCCCGTGCCCGTCGGATACTAGGCTCGCCAAAAAACAGGGGTTACCCTCCAAAAAGGGCGCTCCCATGGGGCGCGCCTATACCTTGCTTCTAGTAGTCCGTAGGAAGACTCGCCTGAACCCAGGCACTAGATGGACCGACCCAATTGCGGCGAGGCCACAACCTCGTTTTTTTGTTCATGTTTTTTCTTTTTTACTTTTGTCTATACTTCAAAAAATTCAAAATAAATATATTACAAAAAACACATACATAAAACAGTTAAACAATGCTAACCAAGCATTTAAAAAAATGTTAAAGTGCACAAAGAATGTTTCTTATGTGTACCAAAAATGTATACACAATATATAAATAATGTGAAAAAAAGTTGATCGTGTACTCAAAAAATGTAGATCCGGTGTTTGAAACCTGTTACTCAGGAATTTGAAAAATGTTAAATCTGTATAGGGAAAATGTTGATCATGTATTCAAAAAAAATTACTCTTGTAATTGAAAAATGTTAAATTTTTATTAATAAAATTTTGACCATGTACTCAATAAATGTTAATTTTGTATTTGACAAATATTAGACGTGTATTATAAATATATATGGAAATGTATATAGAAAAAATGAAAACTAAAATTAAAAAAGCAAACAAAACTAAAGAAAATTAAAGAAAAGAAAAAACCTAGTGAAAAGGGAAAAAACAAATAAAATATAAAACCTGTAAATATAGAGAAAAGAGACGAATAAAAACCAATGAAAAAACAAGAACACAAAACCTGCAAAAACCCAGTGAAAACCCCACTCTGTTTCTTTAACAAGTCCGTGACCTACTAATGAAACACAAACCAGATGTTGGCCGAGTGGCTAGCAGTGCAATGCTGCAGCTAGGAGATCACTAGATAGATTCTGGTGGGCCTGCAACTGTAGAGGCTTTAGCGAGACCGAAGGAAGACTCGCTATAAGCGAGATACAGACTTTGCGGGCCCCATGAACGAAGCTCACCTAAACACATGTCTCCCATTGCATGCCGGGCCTGGCCCATCTACGAAGAGGTGCATGTGAACGCTCGTATGTGAAATTATTAATTGAGGAGTACTCCTTGCAAAAATCACTCCCACTTTCCCAGGTTGCGACAACTGATGTACAACGTGTCACTTGTCGCAACCTGTGAGTTTCCCTTTTTTCGTAGATCTTTTTATTCAAAACGTTTCATCTATTAAACCATGCGTTCAAATATCGAACCGTTTTTACCCCTAGATTCCTTGCGTCGATGTTTTTAAAACTAGATCTCATGTTGATAGATTTTGACTAACTTTTTTTCGTGAAAAAATAGACGAAATATCAAACCGAGAGCACGATTTTTTTCCTATCCGAAAGAGACACGACCGTGCCTCTCACGAAAGCACAACCGTGCCTCTCGCGAAAGAAAAAAATGCATTTTTTTCGTTCCCGATAGGCATAGCCGTGCCTCTCGCAAAAACACAACTATGCCCTCGCGCGACCAAATCCGTACCTCTCGCGAAAGAAAAAAAGCAGAGAAAACACATTTTTTCCGTGTCTCTCATGCGAGTAAAGTCGTGGCTCTCGTAGAAAAGAAAAACAGAAAACACATTACTTTTTTTGTTTCTGAGAGGGCCGTGCCTCTTGCGAAATCACAACCCTGCGTCTCGCAAAAAGAAAAAAAACAGAAAACACGTTTTCTTTTCATTTTCGAGAGAGAGGAACGACCCCAAGAGAGACATAGACGCCCCCACGAGAGCTCCTTGTCCATGTAAGGTCGGGACCTCTTATATGGCGCATGAGGCGCCCCCTAGCGCCATGACGCACAACCCCGCACGCCCAGTTGGGCCGGCCCATTCGCGGGTCGGGGCGCCCCTGTTTTTTTTCCAGTTTTTACCTTTTCTTTTTATTTTCTGTTTTTATTCTATATAAAAATAATTCGAGATTGGTTCTAAAATTTAAAAACATTGTGAATTGTGAATTGTCATAAAACAGTTGTCGAGTTTAAAAATGTTTGTGATTCAAAAGAATGAACATTTTTTGAATTTGAGTGAAACAAATTTTATAAGAATTTTCAATAATGATGAAAAAATATTTCATGAAAAAAATTATTCAAGAACATTTTAAATTTATGAATGAAATTTTTATTCAATAACATTTTTCTAAAATGGATGAACAATTTTCGAATTTGATGAAGATTTTTTAAAATGATGAATAAATTTCGAATTTGATGAACATTTTTTAAATCTCAACGAATAAAAAATGAGTTCGCTGAACATGTTTTGAATTAATGAAAATATTTGTACATTGATAAACATTTTATGAATTCAATGAACAGAAAAATGTTCTTAAATTTGAAAAGAAAAAACGCAAGAAAAAGTGAAAAAAAGAAAGAAGAAAAAAGAAAGAGGAAAGCAGAAAAAAGAAAACATAAAAATGAAAAATAAAAATAAAATGAAAATGAGAATGAAAAAATGAATGAAGTAAAAAAGGAAAGGTGACTACGGTGACTTCGTAAATTTCAAGATGATGTGCTGTCTCAATCTTTCGGAGGTACTCATAAGGATAGAGTATGCGTGTGTGCGTTCATAGGGATGAGTGTATGCGTGTGTATATGAGCGCTTGCGTCTGTACTGTGTTCAAAAAAAGAAAAGATAATAAAAAAACGAAAATGGGCTGGCACAAAAACACCCAGTCCATTTTCCTAT